GAAGTTAAGTGATAACATCACTATAATATTGTGTTACTTCTTTGATCTGCTAAAAAGCTAAGTGATATAATCAGTTTTTTCTTTGAGTTTTCTTTCCAATTTCTGCATGTGGCAACAAAGCTAAGAAATAGGTTAATTATAAAAGCTTTTGTCCTTTTCCTCACCCCATTACAGACTCCTTCCTCTTTAGAGTGGGTAAGAAAAGAGGCAACAAAGTTTATTTTGACATATATTACTGTATAATTTAAGAAAGGTCTTCAAGAGGTGGTTTGCTGTAGCGGAAAGAACATGAAATTTGGATTCCAAAGTTATGGGTTTCAATTTTCCATCTGACTCTTTTGAGACTGGAATCAAGTAACTTTTCTAACCTTAGTTTCTTTATCTGTCAAAGATGAAAACCAGTAAAACCTACTCCTTGGATTGTCAGAGGAATTGTATGGTATTCCCCAAATAATTAAAAGGCAGCTAACAATGCATATCATATTAGGAAGATAAAATAAAATCATTTAAAAAATGAGGCACATAAATATAAAGTTAGGAAATGTAGATGCAGTCAGCAATGGAATTAATTTATAAAATAGAGGCAATGGAGCCCTAAACAATTGCTATGAGTGGGCCACAGACTTGAATCTGCACTTCCTTGCTGTTGTCCCAAGGAGAAAAACATGGCTAGTCACCAAAACAACAGTGTTTATTCATGAGGTGAAACACAAATTAGTAGTTTTGTGGCTCCTCAAAAAATTAAACATTGAATTACCATCTGACCTGAACTTCCTAGGTATGTACCCAAAATAATTGAAAACCAGTATTCAAACAGATACTTGTATACCAATGTTCATAGCAGAATTGTTCACAATAATCACAAGGTGGAAACAACCAAAATGTCTATCAATGGATGAATAGATAAACAACATGTGGTATATCCATGCAATGAAACATTATTCAGCCATAAAAAGAAATGAGGTATCGATCCATGGTACATCCTGGATGAACCTTGAAAACATTATGCTAAGTGCAAGAGATCAGACACAAAAGGTGTATGTTGTATGATTCCATTTATATGAAATGTCCAGAGTAGTTAAATCCATAGCGACAGAAAGTAGGTTAGTGGTTGGCAGGCCTGGAGAGAGGGAGAAATAGGAAATGCCTGCTTGATGGGTATAAGGTTTTCTTTGGGATTGATGAAAAAGTTTTAGACATTTGCACAACATTGTAAATGTACTAAGTGCCACTAATTATGTACTTTTATTTTTTAGTTATTTTTTAAAAAGTTTTTTTAGATTATTTATTTGAGAGAGAGAGAGAGAGCATGAGCAGGGAGGAGGTGCAGAGGGAGAGGGAAAAGCAGACTCCCCACTGAGCAGGGAGCCTGATGAGGGGCTTGATTTCAGACCTGAGCCAAAGGCAGATTCTTAACCAACTGAGCCACCTAGGTGCCCCTATTTATTTTTTTAAAGATTTTATTTTTAAGTAATCTCTACACCCAACATGGGGCTAGAATTTACAACTCCAAGATTAAGAGTTGTATGCTCTACAGACTGAGCCAGTCAGGTACCCCTAATTATATACTTTTAAATGGTTAATTTTATGTGAATTTTACCTCAATAAAAAAACAAAACAAAGCCAAAGCAAAAATAAATGAGTTGCCAGAGTAAAAATAAATGAGAAAAAGTATAACTCTTTTTTTTTTTTTAAGATTTTATTTATTTATTTGACAGAGAGAGAGAGAGAGATAGCGAGAGCAGGAACACAAGCAGGGGGAGTGGGAGAGGGAGAAGCAGGCTTCCTGCCAAGCAGGGAGCCCGATGTGGGACTTGATCCCAGGACCCTGGGATCATGACCTGAGCCAAAGGCAGACACTTAATGACTGAGCCACCCAGGCGCCCAGTGTAACTCTTTCTAATACTAAGACCGCAAAGGACATTCTTTAAGGAAACAAACCCTCAGCAATATCTTTATTTGAATATTGTGTCAGGTTTCATATTCTTCAGAGGGTCTTTAAGGTAAGCTGATGTCACCACTATGAAAGGCAACATGGTAAAAGGTATTTTACTGGAAACCAGGGGGAGTGTAAGTGTTAGTAATCCAGCTCTCGCTACACTGGTCTCTGATGAATGGCAGAGTTAAAATTAAGATGGCATAAGGCAGAGATAAAACTAAGAACATCTAGAAGAAGAAAAAAGGGACCTGCCTATCATTCTGCAGTCCATCATAAATATTTCCCTTAGTCAAATTTTTGGAAGTTATAGAGCAAGAGTTAGTGTGACATTGCATTCCCTGTAAAGTATGTGGGTGCAGTTTGCCAATTTAGAGTTTTGTGCTTTCAGGGTTAGCCAGCCTGGAAGGAGAAGTAAGATACCCTGGTAGATGAGGAGAATGTTGGAAGTGAGTAGTGACAGTGCTGAGGTAGTAAAGGTTGCCCTGACAAAGTATGCATCTGCTCAAACACCGAAACAGAGGGTAATCATTACCCCAAATAGTTTCATGCAAAAAATCATGTCCTCAGTATCTCCAGGGAGGAAAGATTTCTTGTAGACTACATGAAGCCATGTATATGTGACGTTGATAGGAGATGTGGTTTTCACTGCTATGATTATCTGGCCATAATAGCTAATGTGTAAACAACATACTTCACATACAGTATTCATTCATCATTCTCAACCAATACTTACTGAATGTTAATTGTGTGCCAAGGAGAGCAGACAATACTATCAGCATTTTAGAAAAGAATAAATTGAGGTTCTGAGAGCCTAAGATTTGCCCTAAGTCACCAAACTTAGACTTGAGATGTTTGGTTGCTGGTTCATTCCAAGCCTTGCTGCCTCCAGGGGCTGAAATGACCAGACTATGGTTGCCAAAGCCCTTCATCTTCACTAACTATTAAATGTGATTATTAAATGCCTTGGGCAAAGTTTCACCATTTCTGTTTGTCTGTGCAGTGGCATTTTCTTTAATTAGTTACATGGTGTTCTCAGGAGCCACACTGCCAAACACAGACAATGCTTGGCTTTATATTATTGGCTAACATTTATTGAGTGCACATTGTATGCTTAGGTGTGGTGCTAATAAGCATTATGCAGACATATGCTCACTGAATCCTTAAAACAGCCTTCTGAGGAATGTCTATCATCCTTTTGTTTATACAGATACTAAGGCTCAGAAAAATTAAACAACTTGCCCAAAGTCACAGTCAGAGATACAAATATTCTGACAATCCTTATAGGAAGATATTTAAAGGTTTATGAAAATCAGAGGCCAAACCAACAGGCTCCTATGGTTGCTACCTGAAGAGGCAGTAGAGGGTAGAACAAATGTTGAACTAAGTATAAAAGTAAGAGACAGGGCTGGGTCCATATCCAGTTTTGTTTACCTCCAAAGCTCACAGCTTAACTGCTCTGCTATACTGAGACACAGGTCCGGTACATTTGTAATCATTTGACTTCTCACCCAGACAATGATGGTAATAAATTCTGGGTCATTATCATCATAGTGGATAAAATTTATTGTGGCTAACACTCTTATAAGTGCTTAACGATTATTTACATTTGCATATTTTAAAGTCTCCTTACGAAGGACAAGGAAGTGCCCCTCCATATAAAAGTTTTTTTTTGAGGAGATAGCAAGCTTTTGCTAAGAGAGGTCAAAAATTCAGGTCACTGAGTGTTATTCTGCTGTTGGATTCGAAATGCTGAAAAGCTAGTATCTGTGCTTTTGACTAACATATCTTTCTGTTCAGATGTGTATAATGCAATAAGGTAAAATAACTTATTCGATGAAAAATTACTATAGAGTGCTAGATATTGTGGTAGGTGCTACCGGTTAGCTACTAGGGTTTACGTACTCAAGCTCTGCCAGCTTTTGAGGAAAAGGGAAGTGATCATTGTCAAATTGGACAAACTTCACCTCTCTGGGTTCATTACCTACTCGGTAAATTAGGTGGTGTACCCAGATCTTAATGTTTCTGGTTTTTGATTTTGTGTTCAGGTTTCTTCTCCTCATTTGCCACTATTCCCATGTCAAAATATCCATCTCATACTATCCTAGCTTTGCAATGCATTAATTAGTTCAACAAATATTTTTCGAACTTCTACTACAAAGCACCATAGGAATAAAGTTGCTAATAATAGAAGCAAGGTTCCTCTGCTCGCGGAGCTTACAGTTCAAAGGAATAAGACAAGAAATAATTAAATAAATAATATAAAAAACAAATACATAAAAATATTCATTAACAATAACTACAGGTTGGAAAAGTACCAAGAAGGAAATGAGATGGAGTATTGTCTTTTTTTTCAGTCACAGAATGAAGTAAATGATAAGTGCTTTCAATTACAAAAATGACCATCTAAGGAGGTTACCAGATTTTAAAAGGGAAAAAATGATACCTTACAACCACTAAAGAATGAATAGCCATTACTCTGGAAGAAAATTGTATTGGTACTGGTTTACTCTATCTTTTCTTTGTAATAGAGGAGAGGCTTCTCAAAAAGAGCAGCGAGAGAAACTCACTTTTTTCTTTTTTTTTGTAAGTCAAGCGGGAAGACAAAGTGGAAAGAAACCAGGAGTCAGACAGGGAAATTGCCAATCTAGTCTGGCCGTGAGGATTTCTTTTAATCTTTCTAGGTTCCCCGCGGCAGCAGGAACTGGATGGGAAGAAAACTAATGCCTTGAATTTCAAGGCGTATTTCCTTTCAATTATTACTGTGCGGTGGCAGGAACCTGGGAAGAGGTCAAGGTATGGTTTAGGAAGAGGCAGCTCCCGGGAAAGGCACTTGGAAGGGCAGAGCAGAGAACAGCGGGAGAAGGCGACCGAAAGGAGGGAGAAGAGTGCCACTGGTTACTACTCGGATGGGAAAAACTCTCCGCCTGCTGAGCCGCGCGCCGCTCAGGTGGCCTTTTCCCGCTCAGGTGAGCTCCTCCCGCGCCTCCCATTGGCCAAGGCGCCCGTGGCGCTGGGAGGGCGACGCAGCCCGGTCTAGTTCAGGGTCTAGGGCGGCGCGTCACTTCCGGTAGCGCGGAGCTTGTAAAACACCCTGGAGAGAAAATGGCGGCGGCAGCGGCTTCGGCGCCTCAGCAGCTCTCGGATGAGGAGCTTTTCTCTCAGCTCCGCCGTTACGGCCTGTCTCCTGGCCCAGTGACGGAGAGCACCCGCCCGGTCTACCTCAAGAAGCTGAAGAAGCTTCGAGAGGAAGAGCAGCAGCAGCACCGGTCTGGGGGCCGCGGCAACAAGACGCGGAACAGTAATAACAATAACACGGCAGCCGCCGCCGTTGCGGCGGCGGGACCGGCGGCGGCCGCCACGGGGCTGGGGGTCCGGCCGGTCTCGGGCGACCTCTCCTACTTGCGGACTCCTGGGGGCCTGGGCCGAATCTCGGCCTCGGGCCCGGAGAGCCCCTTGGGAGGGCCCGGGGGCGCCTCGGCCGCCCCCACGGCTGGCAGCAAAGTGCTGCTGGGCTTCAGCTCGGACGAGTCGGACGTGGAGGCCAGTCCCCGGGACCAGGCCGGCGGCGGCGGCGGCGGCGGCGGCGGCGGCGGCAGGAAAGACCGGGCTTCGCTCCAGTACCGCGGGCTCAAGCCGCTGTCGGCGCCCCTGGCCGCCAGCGAGGTGACTAACAGCACCTCGGCCGAGCGAAGGAAGCCCCACTCGTGGTGGGGGGCCCGGCGGCCGGCGGCTCCCGAGCTGCAGACCCCGTCGGCGAGAGATGGAGCCGCGGAGGGCGAGGAGGAGGAGGGGGACGACGGAGAGGACAGGGACCCAGAGGCCGAGGAGCCGCTGTGGGCGAGCCGGACCGTGAATGGCAGCCGGCTTCTCTCCTACAGCTGCCGGGAGAACTATTCGGACTCGGAGGAAGAGGAGGACGACGACGTGGCCTCCAGCAGACAGGTATTAAAGGACGACTCCCTTTCCCGGCATCGGCCCAGACGGAGCCATAGTAAGCCTCTCTCTTCGCTGACTGCTAAATCTGCCGGCGGCCGGCCGGAGACCTCAGTTCAGGGAGGGGGAGGAATCCCGATGAATGACAGGGCGGCGGCTGCGGGGAGTCTAGACAGGAGCCGAAACCTCGAAGAGTCGGCGGCGGCGGAGCAGGGAGGAGGGTGTGATCCCCTGGACTCCAGCCCCATTCCTAGGTACCGTGTCAACGCTAAGAAACTGGCCCCTCTCCTGCCCCCGCCACTGACTGACATGGACTCAACCTTGGATTCGTCCACAGGCTCCCTTCTTAAAACCAATAATCATATCGGCGGTGGGGCCTTCGGTGTGGACTCCCCCAGGATTTTTTCCAACAGCCTCCCTCCCGGTGCCTCGGTGGCTGCCTCTAGTTCACTCAGGATCAATCACTCCAATCATACGGGCTCCAATCATACCTACCTGAAAAACACATACAACAAACCGAAGCTTGCCGAACCCGAGGAGGAACTTCTCCAGCAATTTAAACGGGAGGAGGTGTCCCCTACAGGGGGTTTCAGTGCCCACTACTTGTCGATGTTTCTCTTAACTGCTGCCTGCTTGTTTTTCCTAATATTGGGACTGACTTACCTAGGAATGAGAGGGACAGGAGTATCCGAGGATGGAGGGCTCAGCAGTAAGTATTAAACCCTCTGGGTAAGGTAACAAAGGGGATGTTGCTCGGGGTCTCTTGTAACCACACTGGGCATTTTACACGAGGTGACCCCTGTTTGCAAGAACGTAGTGACACCGCAGCAGATCGGGTGCATTTGTGTCATCTTTCTTTAAGAAAGAACATTATTGCCATTATCAGAACGATAGCCCCATGCCTGGTTTTAAAATTTCTGTGTGTGATCTATTGGGGAATTCAGAGCATCTTCTAAAAGAACAAAATGTTACAAGCCTGTTAGTAAAATGCATTTATGTGTGTGACTTAAATTTACTTTTTAGCCTTAAATTAACTATGTGTGCAGATGCCAGTTAATTAACAATTTTGAAGTATTTTGGTTGTTATGGAACATCATAGATGTTTTTTCAAATTCAGTTGTGATTCTAAGAGGCAATGTAAGAGCTCTTGAAATTCCAGTTAAATATTTTGGAATATTAAGTTCTGTAGTTCTATATTTTCTATAGTTTCTATATTTCCTTTAACGTGAGCGAATATAGAAGATAGGAAGACACAGCTCAAAATTAATTGCCCAGGGGGCGCCTGGGTGGCTCAGATGGTTAGGCATCTGCCTTCGCCTCAGGGTCCTGATCTCGGGATCCTGGGATGGAGCCCGGCGTCCGGCTCCTAGCTTAGCAGGGAGTCTGCTTCTCCCTCTCCCTCTCCCCCTGCGTGTGCTCTCTCTCTCTCTCTCTCTCTCTCTCTCTCTTTCTCAAATGAATAAATAAAATCTTTAAAAAAGAACTGATTGCCCAGGCCAAAGTGTCTTCCCTCACACCAGTGAAAAAGTAGTGGTAGGGCAGGGCAGGAGTTTACCATTTATCTGGTATTGGTTTTTAGGCCCTGCCATTTACTTGCTCTAAAGCGCTGTGGGCAGGTGTGTGTTCGTTCATTCAGTAAGCCCAGCATCATCTTCTATGCTGTAGGATAAATCAGAGTATTTCTGTCCTTCAACACAAGAGGATAAGTACAGGTAATTTTGTGTTCTGTGAAGGAAATAAGGATGGAATAGTTGGTATAGGCTACTTGAGAGATGGTGAGAGTAGCTACTATTTGAGGGGAGACCTGAAGCAGGAGGAGACAGCATTGTAGGGAGACAGGAGAGCATTCTGGGCAGAGATGATAAGAAGAAAGGCTTTGAGTTGAGCAAGAGCGTTCCTGTAGGTTAGAGTGGTTAGGATACCTTGAGCAAGGGGGAGTAAGCAAGAGTTTGAGCTTCCCTTTCCTTAACCTCTGAGCCTCATTTTTCTGTATTAAATAGGAGTAATAATTTCTGCTCTCTATGGGGATGTTGTAAGGATCAATGAGGTAGTTTATTAAATAACTTTACACAAAGTGGCATTATTCAGAAGTTTAGATAAAATTTGTTGTATTCCTGGTAAACTACGGTATGTATGTAAAGAGAAATAGTTAAGTCATTTCTGTAAATATTTAGTAGTGCATTTCTTATTCAGCGTTTAATTTTTTTTTTTTTAAAGATATTTATTTATTTATTTATTTGAGAGAGAATGAGAGAGAGAGAGCATGAGAGGGGGGAGGGTCAGAGGGAGAAGCAGACTCCCTGCCGAGCAGGGAGCCCGATGCGGGACTCGATTCCGGGACTCCAGGATCATGACCTGAGCCGAAGGCAGTCGCTTAACCAACTGAGCCACCCAGGCGCCCCACAGCGTTTAATTTTTATTCCATTAAAAATACACTGTAGACATTGATACAGAAATTTGAATCAAAGTATAATGAATCCTTAACTATATTACATATTTGACTTACTGTATACCCTGGTGGAAAGAAGTGCCTGCTAATTCAGTTAGTCTGCACATCTAACGGTGAATAATTTTCCTCCCTATATTTATGTATTCTGAATCCTTTGTCATAGTATAATGGTTAACCAGAGCTTAACCATAGGGTTCATTGGTCAAATAATGTGCTTAAGGAAATAGTTTTACTTCGAGTAATAATTTCACCAGAAGATTGTAGGTTATATATGAGAGTAAGCTTTGGTAAGCTTTTATTAGTTGTCATTTAAATTATGTAGATTAGCCTTTTAAATAGTTCTTAATCATTTGGTCTTTGAAAATTTATCAATACCCTAGTTTTATTAATTAAATTACTTTTATTATATTACTATAAGTCTCTGCTTCCTCATCTGTAAAACTAGGGGGTTGGAGTAGATGATCCCAAGATTCTAACTTTGAACTGTCCTACCAAAACAACTTAAGGATCAGCCTGCAGTGAGATTAGGTCATGACAACCCAACAAAAGAAAATGGAGATGCAGAATAGATTGACTATATTAGGCTCATGTAGTCATTATATAAAAATTGTTTTCCAATTATAAAAGACATGATTTTTGTAGAAAATGTGGATAGAGATCTATGAAGCAAAAAATGAATAGGTATTGTATACCTCTCCTCATCTCCCACTCACCCCTGGTATAAATAAGTTCAGATAATACCTCTCAAAACTTTCTTAATGCTTTTCATCTAAATACATACGTTCATATATATGTGTGTTTTTTTAAATTTATTTTTTAATTATTTATTTTTAAAGATTTTATTTATTTGACACAGAGAGAGAGAGCACAAGCAGGGGGAGCAGCAGGCAGAGGGAGATGCAGGCCTCCCGAGAAGGAGGGAGCCCGATGTGGGGCTCGATCCCAGGACCCTGGGATCATGACCTGAGCTGAAGGCAGACGCTTAACGACTGAGCCACCCAGGCGCCACCTATATGTGTGTTTTTGTGTACATTTTCATTCAACAATAGAGTGACTACTCTGTGCCAAGCATCATTTTAAGCTTTCTGGGGGTGGGGGGAGGGGAGATGTACAAGTAAACAAATAAGAATTTGAGAGAATGGTAGTTGCTGATACAAGTTAATGATAGTAACTTTGCCGGGGGTAGAGGGATACGGAATATTACAGGTGAGCAGGCCTCTCTAAGGAGGTGATGTTTGAACTGAAACCTGAACGTCTTGAAGGAACTAGCCATTGACAGGGAGAAAAGCATTCCAGGCAGAAATAACAGCGAGTGCAAAACTCTTGGGGCAAGAACCGGCTTGGCAAGTTGAAGCATCAGAATAGAGTGGCCATTGTGGCTGGGGTATAGTGAATGAGGCAGAATGGCATATGAAGGAGTCAGAAGTAGGCAGGGGCCAGGTCATAAAGGACCTACAGGCCTTGAGGGTCACAGAAAGGAGTCAGAATTTTATTTTAAAGTGATGTCATACATATACATATCCTGCAACTTGTTTTTTCATTTAACCTTGTATGACGAGTTATTTTCTATATACTAAGTTTAAGTACAAGGCATAATTTAAAAATCTCACTCTCCACTGGTCCCTAGAAAGGATGAGAACATCCTATAAAAATGTTAAAATCTCTGCCACCCTGAAAATGTTCTTCAACCCTCTGTTCTCCTCCAGCTGTTCCTGTCCTCTCAGCCAAGATTGTTATCTCTTGCTGTAGCTGCCATTCACTCAACCCCTGTCTAGTTTAGCTTTCTTTACCATCCATCCCTCTGTAACTTCTGCTTCAAGTCACAAGTTACTCAATTGCCAAATCCAAGAGAGGCATTAAAGTTCTTATCTTTGCCTCTTTGATCCATTCAATACAGTGATAACTCCCTTCTTTGTGCAACTCTCTCCTTTCCAGACTTCTGTATCACTACTCTCTCCCAGTTTTCATTTATTCCTGTCTGTCTATGTTTTAAATATTGGTGGTCTCTGGGACTCTTGTCTTTGGTTCTATCCTTTTGTATAGTTTCTGGCTAATACCTCTTTTTGCCTTAAATGTTCTCTTCTGAGTTCTAGACTTACCTATTTGTTTATTGGACAGTTTCTTTTGGATGTTCCAGAAGTACCCATCCTCTGTACTCATTGGCTTTCCTTTCACCTTGTTTCCCCTGCTCTGTTCCCTGCTTTAGTCAATAGCACTTCCATCTACCCAGGACTCAAGCTAGGAACTTTGAATTTATCTAGATTCCTTCTTCTCCTTCATTCCTCCTACCAAACCTCAAACCTCAATCCAGTTGGTTACTAAGTCTTGTAGTTCTACCTCCAGTTGTCTTTTGAATCTTTTTTTCTCCATCACTGTTGCTCTAAGTTAGTCTTTTGCCTGATCTGCTTAGTCTTCTGTCAGGTGTCCCTGCTTCTAGGCTGTAGCTCTTCAATCCATTTTCAGTGCCAGAGCAATATTTCTAAAACACAAATGCAATAATTCACTCTCTTGCTTAAAATTACTCAATGGCTTTCTCTTACTCATTGGATAAAATCTAAATTCTTTGGCAAAACTGTTCATGATCTGACTATGCCTGCTTTTCTAGCTTCATTTCCTACCAGTTTCTCTTACCACATTTTACTTTCTGGGTAACTGGAGCTTTCTGGATACTGCTTGGTGTTCACTGAATATGTCATGAAATTTTGTGCCTTTATGCCTTTGCACATTATTCCCTTCTTTGGAAAGGTGGTTTCTTCCTCTTTGAACTGCTATTCATTCTTAAAAGTGTCACTTCTGGATATTTTCCCTGACTCCCATCCTCTTTACCCTGGAATTTGGGTATACTCAAATAAGATCTTATACATCCTTCACAGCATTTATTATAGAGTATTATAATTGTGTACGTCCATTGTGCCAGTTTGATTACAGTTCCTTGAGGAAATATTTCTGTAGGAGGAAGTGAATACGCTGGTAAAGGGCACAGGCTTTACACTCATCTCTGAGTTTGACTCTCATTTCTCTCTTATACTTGCTCTGTGACTTTACTAGAAGATAACTCAGTTCCCTCATACTAAAAATGCAGATGGTAATACCTGCCTCAGGGTGGCTATAAGCATTACGTGAGGTAATGTATGTAAAGTTTTTAGTGTTGTTGCCTGGCATAGGGGAATTGCTCAGTAGACCCAAGTCACATCAGTGTCCTTGGCACAAGTTCGTTCCTTAGTAAATATTTATTGAAAATGATCACATATCAGATACCC